GAGAGAGAGAGAGAGAGAGAGAGAGAGAGAGAGAGAGAGAGAGAGAACGTGTCCATGATTTACTGTATAATCAGCTGCTGCAAATTAGAATATTAGAAAATGAACAGAACCACATCTGAGGTCGTCCCATTTGGACAGGTTCCTGATAAGTTCAGAGTTGGTGTGATTATAAAAAAATTCTTGGCATAGCCCATGATCTTTCACGCTTCTGGGATTTTTTTCAGATTTTCAAACAAGCTTCTCAATCTACTGCATGATGATGAGTGAGAACTTTCCAGTTACAGTTTGTGAGTAAGTTGTTACCTTGAAAATTGACTGAGGCAATACACTACTTTAATGTGTGTGTGTGGAAACTTATATGCTGATGTACAATGCTGTAGTGCACACAAACGACACATACCTCATGACGTGGACTGTGGTCGTGATGCTCTCGCGGCCCGTGGGCAGTCGCAGGAGGTCAGCCAGGAAGGAGATGCGTTCCCGGATGCGGGACAGGGCCATGCCCTGGATGAGGCCATAGTAGAGCAGGGTCTCGTAGGTGGTGAGCTCGGCCACCAGCGAGATGTCTTGCGGCATGTAGCCACAGGCAGGGCCAGGCAGGCCGGAAATGCGGGTGCCGGGCTTGTGGCCAAACACCCGCACGGACCCGGCCTGGCAATGCAGCATGCCCAGGATGCACTCGAGCAGGGTCGTCTTGCCGGTGCCACTGGGGCCGAGCAGTCCGTATCTGCAGCACGAGGCAATCATCATCCATCGTGCGTGTATTATAATGATATACAGGTGCAGTGTATACATACGGAATTCATGATGTACATTACATGCACGTATCATTTTTGGAGAGGTGGGCAACGATCATTTTCAGAATCTTCCCTTCATTCTTCCCCTTCTTATTTTTTTATTCTTTCATCATTGGAACAGATAACAGGCTCTCATCATCATAGATACTGTATATAGCCGAATGAACATATTAGAATAAATTGGCATGAAATGCAGTGGGACCCCAAAACGGGGACACCGCAGCATATAGGGACAATTCAGCTTAGTGACACTTAGAACTGAAAAATCTGCCCCAATATCTGGACACAGACTTTAAATGGACTTTTTTCCAAGATTACTAGGAGAACTTGAACATTTTTTTTCTAAATTTTCCAATTCTTCAAGAAAGTGAGGCATTCTAATTCAAAAATATTATAAATGAATGTCATCATGAAAAAAAAACCCAAAAAGTTCATAATCGAAAACTGGCTAATTCTGTGCCTTTTACACAGTTTTTAACATCATGTGTGCACACTGCACTGTATAGCAAAACGTGCTAATTGTATTTGCCTCACTCCGCTCAATCTGATGCAAAATTATCAGATTCTGTCTGGTTCTCTTCTGCGCAATTTTTTTGAAGTTTTTTTGGAGCTGAAGAAAGCATTTTAACCTTTATTTTCTGGGAACTGTGTTCTTGACTGTTTTTTTCTAAACAATTTATATGTGCTTCACTGAAAGTACATCAGGAAATAAGATCCATAATATAGACGTTCCAACATGGGGACAAGGTCAAAACAACAATTCTGTCGCAAAAGCTGTTCCTTATTGATGGCACATTTCTTCTTGGTCCTGGCAGTTTATTCTGAGCAAAATTATTCAAAAACTTTGTTCCAAGTGATTAATTTACCTCAATAAGTTGAGAACTGCTGCTGTGTTAAAATCCTTTTGCCTTGATTATTAGTGCGTGGACCAAAAGTATGTATAGTACAGTAATTGAAAAAAAAAATCCAATTGAGCTTCTCTTTTTCTTGATAACATTTCATCAGCTGGATGTGAACTGCACGTAGGCTTTTTCTTTCCTCCTGGCTTTTTGCACACAATTAGTCTCTCTCCAGCAACCAGAAAGAGCAGGATCTGCTGTTTTTCTTGAGCAGTTAAATTTTCTTTTTCAATGTTTGAAAAATATTTTCCCTTGGGACTTTGGGAGTTCGCAATTTTTGTATGCTTTGCAAAAAACAGGAGAAGGGATTGAAAAGTACTGTACTGTACAATACAAACATGGAAGCCCGTTTGACAGTGAGGTCAATGCTGCGGAGCACTTTGAAGGGCTCCCGACAGCACTTGCCCAGCCACTTGAGCCTGGCACATCGGCTGCTGCCGTAGGAAAATTCCAGGTCCTTGACGACAATCGCCTCCGGGTGACCCTCGGGGTCGTCCATCAGTTCCTGCAATTTTCTCTGCCACCTTCACCAGATTTACCGACTAAGAGAAACACGAACTGAGACGAAGGAAGAATAGACGAGAGTGAAGTGGACTTTGCGGGTGGAGCATCAGCGGCGATAATCAAGTTCCTGCAAACATTATGTGGAGTTCGTCGCCGTGATTGGAATAGTAAACCATTGTTGATTTGGTTCAGCTGCTGTCTGTCTTATTGGGGACATAATTTCCTAACGCTTCAGAGGGATGAGGCCATCACTCCTGGTGTAAAGTTCTATTTTTCTTTTCAAGTCCATTCTTCTGTTCCATTCCACTTTATACTGCATGTGAATAGGGCAATCAAATCACCAGCGAGTGGGATTCCAAAGAAGAAGAAAAGTAAGGAGGAAATAAAAAAAAGAACGGATACCATAAACCTGCTGATTAAACTGCCCCCCCCCCCCATTTTTTTGTGATGGGTGGTTCAACAGGGTTTTTGATTGAAACCAGGGCTGGTTTTTTAATTCAAAGAAAGACGAAATCAAATGAGAATCAAGAATGATAGGAAATGAAATTCATATTTTTCCGAGAAACAATCCAAATATCCCTGGATGCGTAAATAACTGTAAACCTAGGTAATGTTCCCAAGAAGTAAATAATTCCAATTCTGTTTTATTGTTTTTTGGAGACCTCTGGCAGAAAATTGCATTTTATTGATGGTGGGGTAATGGAGGAAAATATAATCCAGCATATTTGAGTCGTGAATCATTTGAGGGTATGTCATTTTAGTGTTGTTTCCAATGTTATCATTGTCCAATTTTTTCAGGATCCTGCATTTTGGTTTGACCAAAGGTGACCAAAATGCAGATTTGGCTGAATACCCTGCAAAAAATGGGGGCATTAGGCTGACAGGCAATAGGGCAATGGTATTGCCAAAGCCATGGCTTTGGCAATTTAAGGTTGGTGAGGATTGCAACCAATGTCCTTGTTTTGTGACATTGATGCAATGCAAGCTCTTTTCCAATGCCAATGTCCAAACATAAAAAAGGCATTGCTGAAATGGCATTGAACCCACCTTGTCATGGGATTATCAATGCTCTGGCATGAATACAGAAAAAATGCCATGCAACACTAACTTTTTTCTTGAAAAATTTTCTGCTGGAATGCAAAATAGGGATTTTTCCTGACTTTTTGGCTACTTCAATTGCTTTTCTTCCGAAAATGTTTATACTCCTTGGGCACACAATTTTGCAGATATATCCACCGCTGCCCAAGGGTTAAGAAGCAAGATTTAGGTGAGCAACTGGCAGCAACCTCTTGGTGTTCCAACGATTGGGTGATCCAACCCTTGCATGGTGGGCTGGAGATTGGAGGCCTGCTACTGACCAGCTAGGCTGGCTGTTGGAGTGACTGCCGTGCAGCAACTGGCAGGTGCACAACCCTAAAGTGCATGACCTGTGGTTAACCTGGTACCACATTGCCATGGGGTTTGACCTCTTGTGGTGGCATATTCCTTTGCTGTGGCCATGGTACTCAATGCACCACGACCATTCCTTATTCCTGCTCCTGGCTCATCTCTACATGACTCCTTGAAAAGTCCTGCTTGTTGATGAGTCACCAGCGTTGACGTGAAGCATCAATTGGCAGCATTCTATTCATTGTCGCATTCCTCTTTAAACTCATTGACATGTACTGTACAGTGCGTTGTTTAAATAATGGGTTGACGGAGGATACGCTTCCATGAAAAAATAAATTGTGCTCGCCTCATGCTTCTTGCAAGGTGACCCGCGTTTTATGCTCCAATTCATGAAAAAATGAACAGTGTAGCAGAATAAAAAATAGAGCATAAAAAGCATGATAGGTTCTAAAAGTGAAGAGCATTATGTCCAGTTCATATTTTGAAAATGAGAACATTTTGATCTTAAACCAGTCACTGAAATAAATGTAACGTCAAATTGTAAGTTTGCTCTGCGTTTCAAATGAATACTTTTTAATATCTGAATTTCAATGAAATACGGCTGATATCCAGTATTTACGCCTGTTGTACCCTTCAAGAAATGTTCACACATTTTCAGAAATGTTTGCTACTATTGAATACAGTCATACCACAATTTCGTGCCACCATTTCTCCTATCACATTTTGTGACACTGAGCATGGGTGGCACTAAACTTAAATTATTGTACAATAGGGAGATTCAGTTGTGTTTCTTTTGGAGGAAAAAAAGGCTTGTTCACAATATTGATGGGTCACTTGGTCTGTTTAATAAGCAAAAAGGCCTCAAGAAATTATGTGATGGTGAAAATGATTGCGTATATTCATTAGAAATTTTGGGAGAGAGAGAGAGAGATATATATATATATATATATATATATAGAGAGAGAGAGGAAATATATATATATATATATATATATATATAGAGAGAGAGAGAGAGAGAGAGAGAGAGAGTGAATGCTTCCCTAGAATTAACCAACTTCTTCCATAATGAAAAAAATGAAGTGAGTAAGTGAGTGTTGTTACATGGAACACTATGCAGAATTATGAAATGGCGAGAACTGATATAACTTGCAAGTGATGGATATAGCCACGCATGCAGCACAGCGCGCGGGAGAGCCAACAGCAGGAGGGGTATGATGGTGTCACACCATACACACACACACACACAAATGGGATCCGGCCATTTACTATCGATAGTTCCACCTGCACACCCACCATCGTCAAGCAGGGCAGATAACGAGTTGGTTAAGTCGTGCTGTAGCACAACGGGCAAGGCGATTAAGGAATTTGCCTCGTCAGTCGCTCTTGTCAAATCGGCCGAGTTCCGTTTCCTCCTTGCAACATCATTGTTCAAAAACATTTCCCTTTTCTTGCACGCATTATTTGTGTGGTGTGGATCTTTCCATTCATTGTATAATAACCCCTTCCCTCGGTAACGCCAAAAAAAAATTGGGTGCAGATGAGTCTTTTCAATAGGCCAAAAAAGCCCCAATGCGAAAAAGTTTTCCCGCTCGTTCTCTCTCACGAACCTGAAATCACAAAGAAAAGTGTCCCCATTATATTCGATAAATATTGTCTGCCAATCCCGAGTAGAAAACGAAATCTGGTGACCTTCACCTAAAAACATCCTGAGCCTTTTTTTCTGTCTGTTCAAGCCTGAGAAAGAAGAGTTCACAAATGGTTCTTACGAAACTTGCTGAGTGGACAAAAATATCCTTGATTGGAATGAATTTTATGATTCGATTGAAATATGAAGTGTTTTGAAATGATCATGATTATTCAAAGAATCACGCCAGTTGGTCCCAGACTCATCAATGATTCTTCTGGAATTATCCTGTACATGAACCAATAACCTCTCAATTTCTATCTTCAATTTTCAAATGGAATAGCTCATCATATTCTCATGCAATTCGGGATCCAAGTTATCGCGATTGATTATGTTGAATAACCGAAGGAATCGTTCTTCTAAATAATTTGAGCTCATTACTAGTCATCATAAATGCTGAAAGGAATAGTTATTACCCTGCATAATAATGACTGGTTATCTATTTCCGGTTCATTACCGAAAATTACGCACGCGATGATTATCATTATCGAGAACGGAAAAAAGTTTTTCCACGAACCTCACGATATCACTCTAGTGTAGGTGATACATTGTAACAACATCCATGAGGCGTTCTTTAAACCTATAAAAGCATACTCAATAACTTCCATCACATTTGTCCGCGATTCCAATAATTGCAAAAACAGAAAATTGATGCAGTAAATCGTAATTTATAATTTTTTTTAAATTTTGAATCGGGAGTCTCACTCGTTTTCTAGCTTAATGACAATCAGCTCAGAGCGAATGGAATACATTACATTAATTTATAATGATAATTAAAAAAAAAAACTGTAAGTGCCTGTCGTGCGAATGAATGCACCCATATCAGCCATTTGATCATCAAGATAAATCGCGACCAATGAATGATCAATGATAACATCAGGAGAACGTCGAAGAAGAGATTGAAAAAAAAGACACAGTGTCCATGCTTCCTTCTTTAACATGTGTGACATTATGTGATACAACCACAAAGGTTTCCTCAATATGATTTGCAACAGGATGATGATGATGATGATGAGGGCGATGAATTCGACGGCAGGCGCCGATGACAATAAGGGCCCCTTGATGCTGTTGAAGATGATGCTCGTGCTGCTGGTGGTGGCGGCGATGGCGGCCCAGCTGGCAGCAGCAGCCGACCCTTGCCTGGAGCTGACCGACTCCGTGGCGCCCTGCACCTGCGCCGACTCCGTGCTCGACTGCAGCGGCATTCGCAGTGGCGCCCAGCTGCTGACCATTGCTGGCCTGCAGAATGGCCAGAGTCTGGGCTTCGAAGAGATCCGCATCCTGGCCAACCCGCTCGTCATGGACATCCCCGACGGCGCATTCGGCGCCCACTACGCCGTCCACACAATCAACTTTATGAACAACAAGGTACAGTGAGACCCCCACATGCGGACACCTCAACCTGCGGACAATTCAACACAGGGACACTTATTTTACCAGAAAAATTGATAAAAATGGCCCAAAATGAGGAGACTGACTCAAAATAGGGACATTTTGTTCTAAAATTGCAAATAAATTTCAGGCCAAAATACAAGAAAAAGATATTTATGTAAAGAATTTAGGTAAGAAAATTTCTTGGGCATTTCTTTCACCAATTTACCATCCATTTAGCAAATTCAAAAATTACCTCCACCAGAGAGGGACTTCCATCTCTCTTTTTCGCTTGAATATTATTTTTACAGAGAATTTCAATATTCCTATGTTCTGTGCAGACTGCAGAGGTATCAGTATCAAATTCCCCAAATGCCCATATTGTGTTGAAAAATATTGATTGGAATCAGTTTAAATTGGGAGACAATTTTTATTTTCATGGAATTATGGTGAGTACTTTACTATTTTGTACATAAAACACCAATTAAAAATTATATAATGTAAGTCAAAGGGAAAATGAGACTCAACTTAGGGATATTTTGACTTGGGAACACTCTTGAAGCACCAATTACGTCCACATCTTGGGGTCTCACTGTACATCATTGTACCCTGATTTTTGATATGTTATCCAATATACGGACTGTCCCACACACCTTTGTTGTCTGGGTCAATAAATAAGAGACTTTCTAATACTTGAATATACTGTACACTGTATTCTGGAATACTGTACCTTGTACACAATGAAAATAGTTAGTCAATCATTCCAAGCATTGGACAAGATTCTAAGTCATGAAAATAAATGCAAAACATACGGGTGTGGAGCATCATGCAAATGAGCTTTGTAATATTGCATCAACTTTCTTTCATATAGCCCTCATAATTTGGTCAGGTCAATACAGTACATTAGTTTCTTTTTCATTCTTGTTATTCATCCACTGTATATATACATCCAGCTGCTGCTGCTGCATCATTATAATAGGGCATCGAATATTGGGAGATTTCAAAAATAAATTACATTATGTGTAACACAAAGATTTTCAACTGCACATTGTCCATATATGCATACAGTATTTGTGATGCAGGATCTGTTGTCAATCTCGGGCTCCATCTTCCGGCCTGAGTCCAAGGCCACTTTGGGCACTCTGATTGTGCGGGACAACAAGGTGGAGAGTTTCCCCTTCTCAGCCCTGCAGGGGTTCACGAACCTCACGACCATCCGACTGGACGGCAACAGACTGACCAGCATCCCCAACAACGCCTTCGACGGACTCATCAGCAACGTCGAGCTCCTCAATCTCGACAACAATCTGGTCAGTACATATCGGGACAACCTATTCTATATATACGGTACAATGTACAGTACATTAATCATACAGTACAGTCCTCTACAGTATAGGTAAAAAGCACATTTCACATTTCCAGCACTGACGACGTTAGCATGGTATTTTTCTTCATGTATATAATTCCTGGATAAAGAATATCGAGATTTCTGTAATTCCTCATCTCTTACTTTACTTTTTCACATATATTGCTGACTTGGTTCCATCAATTATTATTGTTTTCGCGTGCTGGTATGAGTTGTCAATCTTCAATCCCATGCAATAATGCAGGGACAAGTCAGCAAGAAATACGACAACAACAAAAACAACTGAAATATCATAATCTAGTTCATTTGAAAACATCATGCAAAACTCATAGAACAAAGAATGTTTCGAGAAACTTTTGGTTGGTTAATCTAATGCCGTAATCGACATGAAAGAAAACTGCGCATTTTCAGTGATTTTCCGCTTCCGTACGAAACAACAGCTGCTACAGGGATCGTTTCGAGTATGAATAACTATGAAACCGCAGTAGCATAATAGCGTAAAAATCTAATGAACTTTTTAGTAATTTCCAAAAAGGTTGAAATATTATTGAATTATTGAATATGCATCTGCACTTCAGCAGTAAACCAAAATTTGTATCTCTATTTGCTCTTCTTCAGGAGATAATTACTAGGGTGATGATTTTGCCTAATTTATAGTACACCGGTTGACTCTCTTTCTCTCTCTCTGCAATGATCTTGTCTACAAAGATTGTCATTGCTAAGAAAATATTATTTTTGGCCCATGTATGTATTGGCAGATATTTGGCATGTCAGCCTCCCCCCCCCCCCACCATTTTATCAATGATCAGAGTTTACTCAACGATAGAGGAATGTTGTATATTTTGCTGATCAAGTTTTTTATTCATATTTTGATAAAAAAAATAATAAAAAAGGAGTGATGACAAATAAGAAATCCTGAGTGGGTTTTTATGATGGGATTTCCTCATCAGCATTTACTGCATATTGCTGTATGATTTGCACGACACAGATTTCCAGCATCGGGGAATTCGCCTTCTCCAACATCGAGTCCGTGCAGGAGATCACGCTGAAGAACAACCAGCTGGAGAGACTCGGGACCCACGCCCTGCACCTGAGTGCCCCCGTGGCCACCGTGAGTGTCAGCAAGAACCTCATCGCCAGCGTGGACCCGGACTTCCTGTCTGGCCTGCTGCCCGGAAACACGGTCTTGTCCAGCAACCTCATCACGTCCCTGCCGCAGGACCAGTGGGGACCGGCCTTGGCGGACAGTCTCACCTCCAGTGCGAGGCTCAGCTTCACAGGTACTGTACTACTGTATTTTATTTCACTAACTGATGTAGAACTGATGTATTTAGCAAGCTCATTCATTCATTTATTTATGTATATGTGCGTAAACGGTAGTCGAATATTCATGATCCCTATTGGCATTCAATTGTTTCCTCTCTCTCTCAATTCTGTCGAAAATGAGGATACTATATTTTCTCGAGAGTTGAAAAAAAAACGATAAATATGCTTTGCCAGATTTAATTCGTCCGGCCATTTTATCCTACTTCATGCATCTTTTTTAAAATTCATGATCTTATTATTTTCCTTATAAAAAGGATATCACACAGCAGGGAAATGTTTACATGATTATTTCCTTCATTTTTGTCAGCTATTTCCCGAAACAATTTCTAATGCTAATCACATCACAGCATTTTCATTCCAGAACTGATTTGAAGGCTTCGTTTCCCAAATTTCAACAAATATTTCTTATGCACTGCTATATGCAGTCAAAATTTACCTCTAGAATTCCTGCCACCCTTGCTTAGTGCCACACATTCCACCTACACAAATGTCTGTCTATTTTTTTCTGTAGGGAAACTACAATTCAGTACCAACCCAATTATTGCCACACGACATTTCTTCCCAAAACTGAAAAAAGTTCATCGATTCTCCAAAACCTGGATTCTTGTTTTTTCTCTGCTTTGCAAAGCAAGGAAAATTCATATAAGTTATTCAAAAGGTGCAATTTAATCGAGAAAACACGTCAATCTCAGAGTGACTCATATATTAGTATTATTGTAGTACCATTTAAACGGTAAAGAAGATTTCCTCCCAAAGTATGTCAGTTCAAAATTGTATGCAGAAACTATGAAGTAGGACGTAGGAAACAACTTCAATTGAATTTCCTTAAAGGAGAAGAATTTATAATGCATTAAAAATGCTGCATTAAAAAGTAAAAAGCCATGGAATTAAAAGTGCTTACAGTGTACTGTACAGTGATTTATTTTGGATTATGTATTTTCAAAGAAATAATTCTCAAAAAGAAGACGTGATTCATTTTGAATTATTTGCTAATCAGAATCAACAAGTGGTTCCTATATAGAAACAAAATTATGCAATTTCATTGATTGGCAGATGTACATATGAAATATTTCTTCAAGGATAAAATTGACTGAATCTTAAAAAAAAACCAGTTATTTTATTTTATGTATACTGTATTTGTTCTAAAATGGGGAAATTGATGTTGAATAGCCTGACTGACTGAAACATTTATTTATTTTCTCCAAGTTGGAAACAACAACAGCAATACTAGCATGCACAGAAAGATCAACACAGTGGCACTCAATCTATACTGTACCTATTCACTGGTACAGGTGGTACCTTGCAGTTCAACCCTAATCTGTTGCTGAGCTAGGGTCAAATTGCAAACAGTCCAATAGCAAGACAATGTCAAATGGCATGTTTTGTGCATGGCATTTGATGTTTCATGTCTCTCCACAGGTCAAATTGAGTAGCAGAGGTTGAATTGAGAGTTAATTTCCCAGCAAATTCAACCATTGAATTGCGGGACACAGTCAAAATTGCAAGAGGCGAAATTGCTAGGTACCACCCATACTCTAATGTACATATCTGGAAATCAATTGTAGATAATCTCCAAGTTCTGCTGCTGCATGAAAATGACGCGCTGCAGACGTTAACATGTACAATACTGTACTCTATACTTTCCCATGCAGATAACCAATTCGTTTGCGACTGCGGCATGAAGTGGCTGTTTGACGTACCTGCTGCCCAGGCCCACTTCTTCAACATCCTATGCAGCAACATTCTGAATCCCTCGACTGGTCAGCCTTGGAACTTGTGGCTAGCAGGAGTCGACGCACTGGGCGAATGTCCGTGAAATGAACACCAATCATCGTCCTGCTTTACTGACTGACCGACTGACTGACTATCAACACTCGCATCACTTCGGTCGAAAAGATCCTTTTTTCTTTCCTTCTTTTATGGATTATTGCTGAGACTGCTGCTTAAATTTGAGGCTGTGCATGCCATACCTAATGCTCCCTCGTCGAAAAGGAATTTCACTGCATGCCAGCCAAAACCAATGGAAAAGATGCAGTAAATGAAGACCTCATCGGAATAATACTAGGTTATGTGACTTATTGGACCTTCTCATGCAGACAGCAGCAAGAGATTCCGCAAGGCATGAAGCAGCATATGCGACCGGAACGTGTGGGGAATAATACAGTACATTATACTAGTGTTCGTTAAACAGGGTTAGAATATCGCATCATTATGCAAACTCAAATTGGCTTCATATACATACTGTACTGTATATACGGATTACGAGTATAATAGAAGGGTCATATTTCGGGTCGATTATAAATGACCCATATAGACTATCTCCAAAGACACCATTCTCCGAGCAGCACGGAATAGTATAGAAATATTGTGCACAGAATAGAAGCAGATATATACGAGGAAGTCCATAAATCTGGTGTGAGATGCGTGCCATTACTCATTTCTGCCCAGTTATTTGCGGATCGCTCTGATGCACAGGCTAGATGTGTGCAAATAAATCACGCTTGTTGTTATATTGTCCGATAAATACGCTTCGTCACAAACAGTACTGATGTACGCGGGATAGATGACCACACATTATAGCAAGGATTCAGTGCAGAAAATGACGGCTTCTCTTCACTGTCATTGATGCCAATAACTTGCACACAGATGTCATATCAGCGTTGCTTTTCCCTCGTCGTGCTGGACTATAAGGAAAGGCACGAAGAAAATACTGTACAGTACTGTACTGTACTGTGGCGGGATTTTGACTTCATTCATATCTTCCAATTGGTATATTATTGTGATCGAGAAAATGTGCTGCAGCTTTCGGAGCGGGAGTTCTGGCAATTTATGTTTCGCATGTGAATCCATGCTCAGCCACTATATTTGCTGTAGCTTAAAAACCATAACAAAAATTGTTATCGATTTCATACTCAAGACAAGCTCCAGTTTTGCCTATAGTTCACTCGAGTACATCATCATCATGCAGATAAGAAGCCCCATGATTATAGCAGACATTTCATGATGCTTCTGTCAATAATGAACCATGCTATACGAACTAGTTCGTGAGCAATAACGGCAACACGAAACGGCAGCAAACGCAACCGAATTTCCGCCTGCAAGCGAATTACACATTCCTAATTCAACTAGACTGTATGAGGATAAAGAAGATACCAGATATCATTCATTATTATCTAGCAATTCAACAGCATGTCTATTTTAGAGTCAAAACAAGAAAAGTTTCCATGAAGAGCTCCGGTGGTGATGTTTCAAGCGGGGCACGATGACAGTATTATCTGCACAATAAAAAGGAACGCTCTTTTATTCTCTGGAAATGTCTGAGCTACCATCGTTTATATCTTAGTCCACAAAGTAATGTATTGTCCAGAGGAATGATACGATAAATTACAGCAGTTCAATGTTCGAAATATTTAGCAATTGCATGGCAATAACCGCTTGCAACGGATGCGGAATATGCAATTGATTTTGATTTCTTCTACAAACAAACAAACATAACTATTTCTCACGGAGCAATGATATTTTGCGATTGAAACAAAATTTCCTCCATTCCATGCTACATATACGAGACCAAGGGTTTGAAAATTTCCAAATTTTCAACTTCATTACGGATCACGAAAAGTTGAATCCACATGCTTTTGCATTCACTTTTCATTCCTATTCACCTTAGAATGAAGAATTGAAACAAAATGCTGGATACCCGACTCCGAATGGAAAATTTCCTGTTTCCGTCTTCTAAAAGGATTGCCTGTATTTATTTTCTGACATCCACAACCAAAAAAATTGATGTGGCCTGCTCATAATTCAGTGACGGAATTCGGAAAAGGATTTCCACCACTGTTAATGTTCAACAACGGGTGAAAACATTTTGTCAATAAAGCTCTGCACATTTCGAACATGATAATTTTCTGCAGTGGAAGAGGAGTAGGGGCGCAAAACTTGATTAGCAAACTAAACGGTTTCATACCTGCAGCCCATATCACAATACTTATCGCAAATTTCTCTACCAAGAAGTTGCTCATCCTCTTATGAAATATATCCAATGCGAACAGTACTGTATCTTCAAAAGTGGTCAGCAAATCTCCAAGATGAAATCAATGGTCTTTCTCATACACAGAAAATATATGGAACCCTCAAGACGTCGAAATAGTTTGCTTCCAGTTAGAAGATGATTGATGGGCTTTCAGCGTTTCCCTTCTATCAATCAATCAATGTTGATGAGCTGCGATGCAATCACTCTCCGCGAGGATGAAAAAACATTCTGTATTGCGTACTCTCAATATACTCTGAAAGAAGTTCATACATTAGTTATAGCTACGTACAGCATAAAGACAAACGGACGCATCTCAATCAGCAATATATTTGGAATACAGTACACGCAGTAATTGACAAAGCCTGGGTATAAAAATCTGTCATGGTCGAGAATACCGGACGAGAGACACGAGAGCAGCCGCAATTCCAGCAGCACAATCTACCACATTTGTCACGCCAAATGAATCTCAGCCGAGACAACATAACAACGAGGACCAATACGAAAAACAGGGCCAATAATAAAACCCAATACAACGGCTATTTCCCACACGGACCCACCGAAAACAAATATACGTTTCCCATTGGCACAAATTGACTCCAGTCCAAAACAAAAGACGTCGTTTGTGGTGGGGTTAAGGAGGTCAAGGGCAGGAATAGGATCGACTCTCAGGAAGCCAGTGATTAGAGGGGATGAAGCACAGCAGCATTGTGGTGGTAAAAGAGGCAAGGATGATGGGCTTCCTTCCCGTTCCTAATTCAGATATGTAACAGGTACCTTTTTTCCATTTGAGTAACCCGGTTGGAGTTTCACATTTCTCTGCGCACAAACGATTGATCAGATGAGGAGGTACCCTTCCATTTCAGACAAAAACGAAAAAAAAAAATGCTGAGGCCATGTTAGAAAATCCGTTTTTGCCCTTTTTCTTTCAAAATGAGAAAAAACACAATGCTTGAACAACAGTATATTTGACTGCTGAGTTCCAAAAAAGAAAGAACACAATGTAGCGGTTCACCATGAGAAAAAAAAAGAACATTTGAAGGTCTTATATACATCTTCAAATCTTTTGGCAATGACGTCCAAAAAATAGAAAAGCAAAATTAGCCTAAGGCATGAAAGTAAAAAATATACTTGCAACCTTCAGAAAAAAGAACAATAATTGTTGTCAAATCTTCAACTTTTGTTTGTAATCATTTGTGGGAGAAATTGGTGAGGCAAGATCAGATAAGAGCTGGTGGCTGATGCTGCTGGGACCATTTTTATTTATTTTAGTGGTACTGCACAGTAAAGGGTTTGGTAGATGCTGAAAACTACACCCGGGAAGCCCAGTGAGGGCCAGAAGATTCTTGAATTCTTTTAGAGTGTTCAAACCTTTATTTCCCTGCATGTTTTCTTATTATTTCAGACAGGAAAGGAAAGGGAGTCTTGTTTGAGCACATGGTTTGCTCACCCCTGGATGCTAACCTGGAAGCAGCAGGGACTTGGTTTTGTGACTGGTTTTCTCAAGATTGCCATGTTTTATTTTCTGGATGAATTTTGATTTCCCTAGTAGAAAAAGAGTGTATATATTTTTTGAAATCATATCAAACCATTTTTAGCTGTGAAATCTGAAGGTTCCCTCTCATCTTGGGGATTGTTGTAAAACAAGACTGTTGATAGTGGAGTACTTGCCAATTTTTTTTTTCAGAAGTGGGCTTTGTTTAAAGCCCAAAAGCAACTTTCCATCCAAATAAGGGCAGTGTGATAAATTGAACTACTATTGAACTTTTGTGGCCAGGAAGGAGACAGAAAGTTTGAAAATCGCCAGTGCAGAAGTGAAGTGGCTGCTGCTAACAACCCCACCTGTGCACCTGGGAATTTGGCCAAGGGAACCTTCCCATTTCAAAAAGTTGCTGCATTGGCAGAGATATGTAGGGGAATCAATTGACTTTGATGTGAAATTGATCTGACTAAAATGGCAATGAATCTAGAGAGGCTCAAGTTCTGGCTGGATCATGGTCAAGAAAGGGAGCTGTACTCAATCAATCTGCTTGGTCATCCAAGGGACAAAGACGCTGAGGTGCAGAAATGGGTGGAAGTGAAATCATAAGCCAATGGGCACCTGCAGATGCTTGAAAGCAGAGGACTCCCATCAACTGCTATTCCAATGAAAATCTCAGCCTGCCATCCCACCATTCCTGATGCAAATCAAGGTCCACAATCACCAGTGGAGGCAGAGAATTGAGTGCCTTGGAGCTGATGATCAATCTGTGGTTCTACAAAAATGAGGTTACATGTGAGAGTGGAGTGGCAAAAGGCACAAAAAGTGTGGAGTTCCTGGCATGTTTCAACAGGCTCATAGGACAGGCTCCTGATATGTTGGCATTATTGGATCAAGTGCAGATTGGTTTTAAAGATGCTGTGGAGCTTTAGGAGGTGTGCAGAGCCAGGGAGGACCTGGATGAAGCATTATGTGAAGCAAGGGCCACCCTAGGAGGTGTCAAGGCTCTTTTAGAAACTCCAGCTGTGCCCATGGCAACTGGCAATCCAAGTCTGATGGTTGCTGATCAGTGGACACGTTAAGGAAACACACTAGTGCAAAACAAAGTTGAAGCACATTTTAATGATTGAGCAGTTACTTTGGCAGAAAATGTGACTGTTAGCTATTGGCAAGAAAACATGGAATCTGTGAGGGGGAATGTGATAGAAACAGGCAAAACTTGGCACCAGTTGGGATCAGCTGGAGCCACTGCAGCCCCTAGGGTGTCGGCCTCTGCAGAACCCTTGCTGGGTTGCTGTGGAGCAGCAGATGCTAATCCAAGGATGGAAAGTAGACCATTTAAGGGTGATGTATCTGAGCTTTGCTTCTTTCTGCCTTTGCTTTGGGAATTGTTCTGAAGAACAGGCTAACTTCCATAAATTTATGACCCTTTGTAATCATCTCCAACAGGATCCTCTTTCATTTATTGAATTTATCGCTCCTGATGAGGCATATGAAGAAGCTTTGGGAATTCTAAAGGAGGAATACATGGACCCCTCTAAAATTACCAATGAGCTAATTGAGCATTTAAATAATGCCTTGCCTCTTTAGATGTATGATAAACAGTGTCTAAGACAATAGAGAAATAGACTTTGCTCAATAGTGCAGGTACTGCAAAGTAACAATCAATGGGAAGATATAGGTTGCTCTACATAGTCAGAGGTAGTCTAGAACAAGCTGCCATTACCTCTAAAAGTGCAGTGAAATGCTCTAATTGGAGAAAGAGGGGTCCCATGGGGGGAATATCAGCCATGTTAGCCGAGTTCTTTTGCAAAGTCCTTAGGGATTGGAGGTGCATTCCTATGTCACAAGTTGTCATGGAAAAATTAAGTTCAACTGCTGTCTCCTCCTAGAAATGTCATGCAAAATTCAACATTATTCAGGAAAACAGACCCTCAACAAAGACACCAGTTAGAGGAAAATTTGGTGCAAGCTGAAATTCCAGGGACACATACAGAGCCCCCACAATACCTGTACACA